CCCATGGCTGTCACCAAGCCGTGGGACACCAGAGCACGTGCTGGCACCCAGCAGCTGTGCAGGGTGCTCCAGCCCCGAGCCCCGAGCCCCAAGCCCTGGTCCCTATTCTCCGTCGCAGTAGGTGACCCTGCTTCGGCAGGAGGGTTGGACTGGATGAGCCACAGAGGTCCCTGCCAACCCCGACCATTCTGTGATTCTGTGATTTCCAGTGTATACGACTGTGTCCACCAGCTGCTGCCCTGGCTTTAGTGGGGGCTTTTTAACCTGTCGGTAATTTTACGTGTACGCTGTGCAATGTGCTCAAACCCAGCCATTCACTGGCGCATGTTCAGGTCACCCTCTCCCGGGAAGCAGGATCTCGACACTTCCCCATCCTCCTCCTTGCAGCACCATGGGTGTTTTGGGTCACAGGTCCTTCGGTGGACCACCAGCACCCCTGACCCCTGCCCCCTTACCCAGCCGCTTGCCTGCCCCACGTACAGAGCACCCCAGCGATGCCTCCAAAGAGGGAGGGCAAGGGCAGGGAGGGCAGGGGCTTAGGGGTGGTGTGACGGGGTCTAACCCCCACCCCAGAGCCATGCAGAGGGGTGTGACGGGGTCTAACCCCCACCCCAGGGCCATGCAGGGGGGTGTGACAGGGTCTAACCCCCACCCCAGGGTGATGCAGTGGTGGTGTGACAGGGTTTAACCCCCAGCCCAGGGTGATGCAGGGTGGTGTGACAGGGTCTAACCTCCACCCCAGGGTGATGCAGTGGTGGTGTGACAGAGTCTAACCCCCACCCCAGGGCAATGCAGGGTGGTGTGACGGCGTCCAGCACCCCGGCACCGCTTCCAGTCAAAGCGAAAAGGCGCAGAGCAGGGCGGTGGAGACATGGGACCCCAGGCTGAGCTCCCCGCAGAGCCCAGCGCTTCCTCAGCAGCGAGGAAGCGGCACCTGGGCAGTCGCAGGGGAGGTTTCAGCCCAGAAAATGTGGGTGAGGGCTCTGCGGGTGTGGGGTGCAGCCCTTCTCCCAGCTCCGACAGCAGCCACAGGTCGAGCACCCGAGCAGCCGGCAGCACCACGGCCCACTTTCCAACGCCACACCCA